CAAAAGCAATGGCAACAGAAGTCAAAATTGACAAATGGGATCTAATTAAACTAAAGAGCTTCTGCACAGCAAAAGAAACTATCATCAGAGTGAACAGGCAACCTACAGAATGGGGGAAAATTTTTGCAATCTATTCATCTGACAAAGGCTAATATCCAGAACCTACAAAGAACTTAAACAAATTTACAGGAAAAAAGCTAACAACCCCATTAAAACGTGGGCAAAGGACATGAACAGACACTTCTCAGAAGAAGACATTTATACAGCCAACAGACACATGAAAAAATGCTCATCATCACTGGTCATTAGAGAAATGAAAATCGAAACCACAATGAGACACCATCTCATGCCAGTTAGAATGGCGATCATTAAAAAGTCAGGAAACAACAGATGCTGGAGAGGTTGTGGAAAAATAGGAACACTTTTACACTGTTGGTGGGACTGTAAACTAGTTCAACCATCATGGAAGACAGGGTGGTGATTCCTCAAGGATCTAGAACCAGAAATATCATTTGACCCAGCAATCTCATTACTGGGCATATACCCAAAGGATTATAAATCATTCTACAATAAAGACACATGCACATGTACGTTTATTGTGCACTATTCACAATAGCAAAGACTTGGAACCAACCCAAATCCCCATCCATGATAGACTGGATTAAGAAAATGTGGCACATACACACCATGGAATACTATGCAGTCATAAAAAAGGATGAGTTCATGTCCTTTGCAGGGACAGGGATGAAGCTGGGAACCATCATTCTCAGCAAACTATCACAAAGTCAGAAAACCAAACACTGCATGTTATCACTCATAAGTGGGAGATGAACAATGAGAACACATGGACACAGGGAGGGGAACATCACACACCAGGACCTGTGGGGGGTTGGGGGCTAGGGGAGGTATAACATTAGGAGAAATACCTAATGTAGGTGACAGGTTGATGGGTGCAGCAAACCACCATGGCACATGTATACCTATGTAACAAAACTGCACGTTCTGCACATGTAACCCAGAACTTAAAGTATAATTAAAAAAAAAAGAAAGAAGAAAAAAAATATATTTTATAAAATTATGCAACCAATTCAGGAGGTTCAACATACGAGTCACAGAGGTTCTTAAAAGAAGACAGAGAACATGGAGCACAAGAGTACAACAAAAAAGTCAAGAGAATTTCCCAAGGATAAGGGACACGAGGCTACACATTGGAAGGGTCCACTGAATGACAAGCATAATAATAGAACCATGCCAAGGCACAACATCAGGAAACTTCCAAACACCGGCAACAAAGGAAGATCCTATAAGCTTCCAGAGAGACAGAGAGAGAAAAGGAAAGGAGTCATATATAAAGAATAAGAAATCAGAATAGAGTGGACGTCTCCACACTAGAAACTAGAAGTAGAAATGTCTTCAAAATTTATAGACAAACTATTGATCAAGCGTGAAGATAGTCTAAAAGCATTTATGCAAAGTCTCTAAAAAATTTATGTTTTGTGTCTTCCTTCCTAGCGAGCTACTAAAGGATGCTCTCCACCAAAACAAGGGAGTAAACCAAGTAAGAATAAGATGCATGATCTGGAAAAGAGGAGATTCAATTCAAGAAAGATGCAGAGAATCTCAGAATGTTGGTGACAAGGAATGCGGGACGCATCTGGCACAGACCAAAGCAGGCAGAAAGCATCTGGAGAGATCTCCAAAGAGACACAAGTGAGAACCTGAGTTTAGACAACAGAGAAGAATTCTGGAGATGAATCTTTAAGATAAATGAACAACTTAGGAAAGTGAGCCAGGCATAGTGGCACACAGTAGTCCCAGCTACTCAGGAGGTTAAAGCAGGAGGTCTGGCTTGATGCCAGAAGTTTGAGACCAGCATAGGCAACACTGTGAGACCTCATTTAAAAAAAAAAAACCCCAAGGAAAGAAAAAAACAGATAATTATTAACTTCAGGTAAACCAAAAGGCTATGTGAGAAGAGAAAAGCAGCCGTGCTCTGTGACTGCAGAGCTCCACAGCACTCACCTGCTCACAGCCCAGAGACAATAGACACTCATCTCACTGGAACCATGATGCAGGGAGAGTGGAGTCATGGGAAGAACAGAAGTGTGGGTGTGATTTCAAGAGGGAGAAGGAAGGGTTGTACAACAGAGCCGCGTCCTCAACGCTCACTGTGTTCTTTGGCAGAGGGCTTGGGTCTGGCAGGCCAGTGTCCGACCCTGGACTCAGCAGCCTGTATGAAGGGCATTTCAGTCCAGGCTTCGACATGCACTGCTGTTCAGACTCTGACACTGAAACAGTATCACAAAGAATGTGCCTATTTGGGTCAGGCGCAGTGGCTCACACCTGTAATCCCAGCACTTTGGGAAGCTAATGGCAGGCAGATCATCTGAGGTCAGGAGTTCGAGACCAGCCTGGCTATCACGGCGAAACCCCATCTCTACTAAAAATACAAAAAAGTTAGCTGGGCATGGTGGCGTGTGCCTGTAAACCCAGTTACTTGGGAGGCTGAGGCAGGAGAATTGTTTGGATCTGGGAGGTGGAGGTTGTGGTGAGCTGAGATTGTACCACTGCACTCCAGCCTGGGCTACAGAGCGAGACTTTGTCTCAAAAAAAAAAAAAAAAAGAAAAGAAAGAAAGAAAGAAAAAAAGAATGGGTGTTATTCGGAGAATTTTCCATCTTCAATCAGTGGGCAGTACAAAGTAGGCTGATGTTAAAATGTTTAAAGGAAGACAACAGAAGAATAAAGAATGAATATCATAGTAGGCTTGAGGGACACAGAAGATGGAAAGACAAAGAACTGCAGAGAGATCTCCAGGGTACACTAAATATCAGATTTGATGTGAGTGGCAAGCAGGCACCACTCCACCCTATGCCCAGGACGTCTTAACCAGTCATGAAAGTATTCCCCACAGCGCATATGGCTGCACTGTCAAAGTCCAAAATCCTCCTGAAAATAATTCTGCGAGAGTCACCACACAGAGTTGAGACTCACCCACCACCCAGCATATTTCCACGGGCTGGGCAGAAGCTGGCACCAGCTTAGTAACACGGTATCAGCCCAATCCACACTGCCTCGCCACCCCAAGAAGCCCTTAGCAGAACACAGCAGTTTCTCTTGGACACCTAAAGATTAAGAGAGAGAATTTCGCTAGGAGAGCCCTTAAACCTGGGTGTGGGCCCCACCACTCCCTCTGCTACCCAAGTATCCAGGATTCCCAAGGGTATGGTGGTATGTGATCCTGGAATGGGGCAGACTGAATCTGGGGTGACCTCTTCCAGAATGTACTGTAACTGGGGGGTTTCCAAATGAGTTATATGAAGGAACAGGCCCAAGGAGAAAGAAACACAACTGCTTGCTGGTACTTACAGGCTTCAGCAATTCCATCAGCGAGACAAAAAGACAGGAAAAGAAAACCACAGGTGTCACACAGAGGAGGCTAGTGGGACACCTGGCTTCTGGCAATGAGCCAAGGTCCCTGTGCCCCTCTGTCCACATCATGACAGTCGTTATCATAGTACCAAGTGAGGTTTGGGGATGCGGCAATGCAGGTCCCTGACTGGCCATCCTTAAGGAAAGGGTCCCTTTCCTCCAGGCTGCCTTCGCTATCTAGCCAGAAATGACAGCACGGGGTTCCCCAGGCTTTGGACACAGTGTAGCCAATGCAGGACCTCTGCTCAGTCAAGGAGGAGGGTCCCAGGATCAGCAGGTCATCCCCATGTCCCTAAGGAACTCAAAGCCTTCTTTGCTGTTTAATCTTGAACTACCTCAAAGTTCCCTGAAATCCACAGGAGACTGACAGGATAACTGATGTTGTTTAATCAGTGGGTTATAAGTAAAGGGCATTTTAGCAGAACAGGAGACAAGACAGAACTTTTTAATATGAAAATAAAAGGGAACAGAATATTTCAGGGTCATCTAGGCACAGTGGTTCATGCCTGTAATCTTAGCACTTTGGGAGGCCAAGGCAGGCAGATCACCTGAGGTCATGAGTTCGAGACCAGCCTGGCCAACACGGCAAAACCCCATCTCTACTAAAAATAAAAAAATTAGCTGGACATGGTGGCAGATGCCTGTAATTCCAGCTACTTAGGAGGCTGAGGCAACAAAATCACTTGAACACAGGAGGTGGAGGTTGCAGTGAGCCAAGATTGCATCATTGCACTCTCGCCTAAGTGACAGAGCAAGATTCCATCTCCAATTAAAAAAATAAAATAAATAAATAATGAAAAAAAGAATATTCCAGGGTTAATTTGCCTGGTTATAATTTAAAATAATAAAAGAAAGAAATAAGCTGCATGGATAATGCAAGGTCTTCTGTTTCAAGGAAAATAACCACTGTGACAGCAAAACCTTTGGGTATTAGGGCTGAGGTTGCCCTGGGAGGGGGGTGTCAGTCAGGTACATCAACAGCCATCCCCAACTCTGTGGGCTCATGGAAGCTTTCAAAGCCTCACCCTTGAAATACTGGGTGGTGTCCTGCGGGGTAAGAAGCCCTGGCAGGCCATCAGCATGGCCTCTGGGAAGCTGGGAAGCCCACATGGCAGCAGAGTCCACACCCTGGCTCCAACCCCCAGGCCAACCAGCGGAAACAGCAGGACCTCCCCACCTCTGACCTGTCTCACACTCTGTCACTCTGGGAGTTCCAGGGCAGCTACAGTTACTTGGAATGTAAAATTAGGCCAATATGGTAAAAAGTATAAAAATGGCATGAGGCTGGGAGCTGTGGTCACGCCTGCAATCCCAGCACTTTGAAAGGCGGAGGCGGGAGAATTATTTGAGACCAGGAGTTTGAGACCAGCCTGGGTAACATAGCGAGAACCCTGTCCTACCAAAAATACATATATGCCAGGTATGGTAGTGCATGCCTGTGGTCGCAGCTACTTGGGAGGCTGAGGTTGGAGGATCACTTGAGCCCAGGAGGTCGAAGCTGCAGTGAGCTGTGACTGCACCACGGCACTCCAGCCTGAATAACAGAGGAAGACCTTGTCTCAAAACAAAAATTGGTATGTAAATATTTTGTAGATTACACAAGTATAAAATCAAGGCAAACTGCTCAGTTTCTCTGGTAGTGTTGCCTCAGAGAACTGGGAAGAAAGCAAAGACCAACCCACAGAATATCAAGAGACCCAAAAGATCAACTGTATCTAATTCCATTTGTGACTCTGTTCACTTTACCAAGAGAATCTAGAAGGCGAGGTAGAAAATGACTACTTACACTGGAACAAAGCTTTAAAGAGAAAAATGTGCCCAAGTGGATGGAAAAGAAAAACCTAACCTCAGACCCTACAGGAGATGCACTGTACATTTATTTTTTGATGGGAATGCAGGTTTGAAATTAGTAATAAAATGTGTAGATTTCTCGTTTATAATTTTATTATAATTATTTCAATACACAATTCAGGCCAAGGAAAAAATTCTTACTTCACACAGCTATTCTTCTCATCATATTCTTTCTTCTCAGCCAATCTAAGAGGTTTCTCATTTGGCTTCTGACTTAAAGCACTAGAAATGAAAAATAAAATTCATTAAAATTTGTGAACAGCAGCCTGGGCAACATAGTGAGTCCCCATCTCTACAAAAATAAAAAAATAAAAAACGCCGGGCACGGTGGTATGCGCCTATGGCACCAGCAACTCGGGAGGCCAAGGTGGGAGGATTGCTTAAGTTTAAGAGTTGGACACTGCAGTGCGCTGTGATTGTGCCACTGCACTCCAGCCTGCGCAACAAGAGCAAGACCCTGTCTCCTAAAAATATGAAAAATTGGCCAGGCGCAGTGGCTCACGCCTGTAATCCCAGCACTTTGGGAGGCCGAGGCAGGAGGATTGTGAGGTCAGAAGATCGAGACCATCCTGGCTAACATAGTGAAACCCCTTCTCTACTAAAAATACAAAAAATTAGCCGGTATGGTGGCGGGCACCTGTAGTCCCAGCTACTCGGGAGGCTGAGACAGGAGAATGGTGTGAATCCAGAAGGCGGAGGTTGCAGTGAGCCAAGATCACTCCACTGCACTCCAGCCTGGGTGACGGAGTGAGACTCCGTCTCAAAAAAAAAAAAAAGAAAAAAGAAAAATTGTGAACTCCTTTACCCCAATCCTGAAAATATCTTTATTTTCTGGATTACAAATTTAAGGAGCACCACTTAGGAATTGGTTTATCTACATAAGCACATTTCTGTGAGAACCAGAGCTTAGTTCTTTAAGTATAAAAGTCACTTCTGACACTTCTGGTGCTGGTGCTGGACAAGACGGAGTAGGCCTGCCACAACCTCTCTCTCCTGCTGATCACAACTAGAGATTCTCGATGAGGCCCCAACAGCAGGGGAGAGAAGTCGAACACCTGAAGAACACAGTCACCAGGACTTTCTTCGTTTTTCTTCTCTCTGTGTCTCTCTGTGTTGACCTCAGGATGACTATGTGGCAGATACAGACACAATAACCTCCAGGAGAGACCCGCCTCTTTCAAGCCAGGGAAGTGGGAAGAGGCGCCCTTTAAACCAGAAAGTGTGGGGAATCCCCATTGTTTTTCTTTTCTTTCCTTGCTGGGTCCCAAGGCCAGCTCTGATCTTGGAGCTGCACTCAGCAACAGCAACAGCAGTGTGGTGACCTTGAGCCCTGAGAGAAAACCCGCACCTGAAGCCAGAAGAACTGGGAGATGGGAGCTGTGGTCCAAAGACTGTGTGAGGAAAATTTCCATCTTTTTTCTCCCTTATTTGTTTTATTCTCAAGGTATCCCAATCCCACATTACTGCACACCAATGTCTCCAAGAGAAACTATCTGGCTAGAGGAACACGGGGAAGGAGCCCCTAGAAACTGGTTAACTGTGAGGGAAATTCTGAAAAGAAAGAGAGCTGGTTCATGACCCAACACAAGCCCCTGACTTGCCCCAAGCTATGCAGATGTAGAACAGTCCCCAAGCAGCATCGAGGGCCCAGAGCCTGAGATCACATGGCCACCACCATCCACAGATAACAAAGCAGAACATGAGGGCCTGACCTCATGGAAGTACCGACCTCCTGTGAAGACAAACGACACCAACCAACGCTCTCTAGAGAATGCGAACAGAAACCAGAGTCTCGCAACATAACACTCAAAATATCCAGAGTAAGTCCAACGTTACTCAGCACACACGGGCCCAGGAAACCGGATCGACTGCCAAGGGAAACGACAATCAGCAGGCGCCAACCCACGGTGGCTCGGGGTGGCAATCATCAGACACTCACTCCGCAAGAAGAAAAGGTCAGCACTTCCGAGTGGAAACACACAAGTTCTCAGCAAAGAAATATAAACTTTTGGAAAAAAAACAAGGAACATTTTAGAAATAAGAAATATAGGCCAGGTACAGTGGCTCACACCTGTAATCCTAATATTTTGGTAGGCCAAGGCGGGAGCATCACTTGGTCTCAGGAGTTGGAGACCAGCCAGGGCAGCATAGCGAGACCGCCACCTCTACAGAAAATTAAAATGTTAGCCAGCTGTGGTTATGTATGCCTGTAGTCCCAGCTACTTGGGAGGCTAGGGCAGGAGGATCGCTTAAACCCAGGAGTTTAAGGCTATAGTGAGCTATGATTGCTCCACTGCACTTGAAAGCCTAGGTGACAGAGCAAGACCCTGTCTCAAAAAAATATAGATATAATAAATAGAATACTCATAGGACGGGCTCAAGAGCAGAATGTGGATGGCAGAAGAGAATGAATGTACAGACAGATCAGGAGAATCATTAATCTGCAGAGTAGCAAGATTGAAAGGCTGAAAAAATGCACAGAGCCTCAGGGACTTTCTGGACAATATCAAAGTATCTGACATTTATTTCATCAGTCTCTAAAACGAGAGGAAAAAGAGAAGGGTACAGAAAAAGTATTTGTAGACATAATGACTATTTGATGTAAGAAAAATACAAAAGAACATTAACAAACCCCAAACATAAGAAATATGGTAGCAACGACGGCAAGGTATATCATAATTTTTTTTTTTTTTTTGAGACGAGTCTTGCTCTGTCATTCAGGCTGGAGTGCAGTGGTGTGATCTCAGCTCACTACAAACCCCACCTCCTGGGTTCAAGCGATCATCACGCCTCTGCCTCCTGAGTAGCTGGGATTACAGGCACCCACCACCAACCCCAGCTAACTTGTTTGTATTTTTAGTAGAGACGGGGTTTCACCATGTTGGTCAGGCTGGTCTTGAACTCCTGACCTCAGGTGATCTGCCCACCTTGGCCTCCCAAAGTGCTAGGAATACAGGCGTGAGCCACCATGCCTGGCCGGTGTATCATAAGTAAATTGCTAAAACCAGTAATCAAGAGAAAATCTGAAAAGTAGTCAGAGGAAACGGCAGAGGAACAAAGGTACCAGTGACAGCAGAGGCAGTGCTGGGAACAACGCAAGAAAGAAGACAGTGGGGCAAGATCTTTACATAAAGTGCTGTCGACCTAGAATTCTACACCTAGCAAAGGTATCCTTTTCAAAATGAACCTAAAATGAATACTTAAAAAAAAAAAAGCTGAAAGAGTTCATCAACAGCAGACCCGCAATGCAAGAAATATTAAAGGAAGCCCTTTAGGTAGAAGGAAAATAATACCAGATGGAAATATGGATCTACACCACAGTAAAAAATACCAATGCAACCACGTAGGTAAAGAGAGAACATATTTTTGTTAGTTAACTCTCTCTAGAATATAATTGACTATTTAAATAAAAGTGAGATAGAGTCTAGCATTTATGATATATGTAAAAGTATAACATATGACAACCACAGCATGAAGTCCATGAGGGGAAGTGTGAAAGTCTACTATTTTGAGTTCTTAGACCATTCATGAGGTGGTACAATATGATATCCTTTCTGCAATTTCATTAATGTCACTGACATGTATCTTGAAGAGGACAAACTAAAGACCCAGCCTCTGATACTCATGAAACCGTCCTTCTCTTTCCGCCCCGGGTAACCACCCACCCTGTGCTGCCATCTGGCCACCTGAGGCCATCCCTCCCATCAGGACCACTCAGTGCCAATCTTCAGACCTGCCTTACCGAGACAACTCTGTCCAACAAGGCAAAGAAGTGACAGACTCTAGGGCCACTACCAGTTTTCAGTCAACTTTGCTGTCAACCAGGTGTCACATTTTTCCTTTAAATTAATATGTTTAACCAAAATTTCCTGGGTCACTCTTTGAAAATGAACTATTTTCCCATCATCCATTTTATAGAACACTGTATAAGACAATATCACCCTAAGTCTCTTGTCAATTACACCGATTATTATTATTTTAGAGATACAGTTTCACTGTCACTCAGGCTGGAGTGCAGTAGTACAATCACAGCTCACTGAAGCCTGAACCTCCTGGGCTTAAGCGATTCCCCCAGCTCAGCCTCCTCAACAGTTGGGACTATAGGCAAGCACCACCACACCCAGTTTAAATTTTCAAATCATACCTTCCTTCTGGTACATCTGGATCAGCATATATGGTTATGCCTCTTTTTGTTGGCCAGTACGCTGAAGATTCAACACACTGTAAAAGAAAAACTTCTTTCAGAAAGAATGTATATGCTAGCAACATAATATACATTCTTTTAGAACCAAAATTCCATGGGAGTTATTCTCATGAACAATCATCCCAGACAGCTTTCATGCACACACAGATATGGAGAGACAAAAAACTGGAAAGTTGGGTGATTATGCCATTGCTATACTACATTAAACATCCAAATGGCAGGGCATTCCAGATCATCAGTATTTAAAATGCCCTGCAATTACTTTCACCTGTCTCGTCAAAGGGACGGAGAGCAGATTAGACTTGCACTTCACTACGACAGTGCCCTGGAATCCCAGATTTTCACACCTTCGTTAAAAGGAGGATGATTATCCAATTTTGTAGAAAAGAAACTAGGCTGAGAACAAGAGCTTGACATGAAGAAGTTGGAGATACTTTCTCCTTTCAAAATAAGCAAACTATAGGAAACTATCATGGCCAACGATTTTTTAATAGAAAATATATTTTTGGTTTCAGATAGATTTCGAAAGAGAAAATTTGAAAATTAACGCTATATGAACTCTGTATTGAAAGAACATTTTTAAAATACAACCTTATTTGTATCTTTTAAAGAGATGCAATGGTGTTTCTTTTCAGATTTGTTTTTAGGTGAATCTCTCAATGAATCCATATTACATTTTACAGCTTTGTCTGCAAAATAAAAATGGTAATAAGAAAGCTACACCAAAAAGTGATATTAATAGAAGACAGGATAAAAAGGAATATAATAAAAGCAAATACCATTATAAAATCTTAATATGTGAAATTTTTATGGAATATGAATTTGTAGTAAACCTTACTTGAGGGGATTAAATTTTAAAATCTTGTCTCAACCTTTATGTAAAAACAATTAAAATGTTCTAAAAATTCCCATACCAGCTGACTAATAATGGAACACAACAGTATTTTCCCAATTTGTCAGATGACATTTCCCTCAGAAGACCATGGCAACATCTCCCAACACACAAGCTCTTCTCACAACGTGACTCTGCCTCCTGCCAAGAGGTGGGCTCTGTGTTCCTTTCCTGTGAACCTTGGTGAGCTCATAGCCAACATGGAAGTGGTGCTGTGTGACTTCTAAAGCGATGTTACCAAAAGGCCGCATACTCGGGATCTGCCGTCTTGGACACTCACCTTTGAGGCCCAGCCATGATGCTCTGGGAAAGCAGCCACATGGAAAGACTGCTAGCGTATTTCGGATGACAGCCCCAGCTAAGGACCCAGCCAAAAGCCAGCATCAACTGCCAGAATGTGCCTGAGTCCGCAGACCACTGCCCCTGCTTAGTTACCACCAGCCCTCACGTCTCCCTGTCTGAGGCCCTGGACAGTGTGGAACAAAGGCAAACCCTCCTGCCATGCCCGTTCTGAATTCCTGACCACAGAACCCATGAGCATTATAAAATGGCTGTTGTTTTACCCAGCAATCATGTATTAGGGAAATACAGAGGCATTCTAGAAAAGTGTCCTACTATTAACAAAAGAAACACAAATTGAAATGACAAGAGACACCTTTCACCTATTAGTCACTAAAATAAGCAGCAGCACTAGAAAAGTGAAATGATATTATAAACTGCCCTCACCCTTCTTTAAAGTAATTTGGAACCCAAGTCTGCATGTCATGTGGTCTTCCGGTTTGGAATTGCATTATCAGGGTACAACCTTTTAGCCAAAAAGATAAACTCTGGAACCAGGAATGGAGGCGGTAGTTAAAATTCACCAAGAGAGAAACGTTCATACAAGACAAGCTCTCAAACAAAAATCACTAAGTTCACAAAGTAGTTCAACGCTATCATAAAGAGTTTAAAAAAAAAAAAGGAGATTGGGAAAGAAATATTCACATCTGACGATATGAAGATAAAACATCTGTCTGAAAAGGACTTTTCAAATCAACTTAATTAAAATATCCAAGAAATAAAAGAAGTATTCATGAAACCAAAGAGGCCAAGTGCAGTGGCATGCCTATAATCCCAGCACTTTGGGAGGCCGAGGTAGGTGATCAGTTGAGCTCAGGAGTTCAAGACTAGCCTGTTGAACATGGTGAAACGCTGTCTCTGCTAAAAATATGAAAGTTATCCAGGCGTGGTGACGCACACCTGTAGTCCCAGCAACTTGGGAGACTGAGGCAGGAGAATCACTTGAACCTGGGAAGCAGAGGCTGCAGTGAACTCAGACTGCACCACTGCACTCCAACCTGGGTGACAGAGTGAGACTCCATCTCAAAAAATATAAATAAATAAATAAATAGCCTAGCACTCCTTCCCCTTTCTCTCTTCCTCTCTTGCAGGTGATGTGCAGCTCCTGTTCCCCTTCTGCCATGATTGGAAGCTTCCTGAGGCCTCACCATAAGCAGATGCCAGCTCTATGCTTCTTACACAGCTTGCACAACTGTGAGCCAAATGAACCTCTTTTCTTGCTAAATTATTCAGTCTCAGGTATTCCTTTACAACAACGTGAACAAAGACACTCCCCTACTAGAAGAACTACAAAGTATATACTTGGGGAAGGAGAAAAATAAACCAGTAGTACAATAATATTAATTATATAATCAACACCTACTTAGTATTTATATCGAGAACTATTCTAAATGCTTTATATGAATTGATTCAATTCTATGTGATAGGTACCATGTACTTTATTGAATTCCATGTGATTTCTTGATGGGCACAATTATTTCCCCCTTTTCAGATTAGGAAAAGCAAGCACAGAAAGGTGAAATAACGTGCCCATGTTTATTCAGCTAGTAAATAACAGATCTGGGATTCGAACCCAAGCAATTCCATTCCAAAGAACTTAAAGAAAAACTGACTGCAAAATGTATTTACAAAAGAACAAGTTAAATTAAAATTCTAGAAATTAGAACAGAAATGAAAAGAGGAGTTTAGAAAAGAAAAGGTGACGTTATTGATGTGAGGACAGACAATGATTACCTTGAAACTTCATTAGAAAGTATAAGTACATATAAAATTTAAGACTAAGAGAAATGAAATGCAATATCTCTAAGAGTAAAAAGGAAGAGGAGGGAAAATGGTCAATTCAAGAGGAGGCAGAAAATAACAAAGAAAATAGAAAGAAAAATTATGGTCAACAGAAAACACAAAATGAGGCCAGATGTGGTGGCTCACGCTTGTAATTCCTATACTTTGGGAGCCCAAGGCAGGTAGATCACTTGAGGTCAGGAGTTCAAGACTAGCCTGGCCAACATGGTGAAACCCTGTCTCTACTAAAAATACAAAAATTAGCTAGGCAAGGTGTGCGTGCCTTTAATCCCAGCTACTTGGGAGATTGAGGTGGGAGAATCGCTTGAAGCTGGGAGGCAGAGGCTGCAGTCAGCCATGATCTCACTGCCCGCAGTGAGCCACTGCATTCCAGCCTGGGTGACAGTGAGACTCTAAAAAAAAAAAAAAAACCCACAAAATGAGACAATGAAAAGACGTCCAAATATACATTAAATCACAATAAGGCTGGGCACAGTGGCTCATGCCTGTAATCTCAGCACTTTGGGAGGCTGAGGCAGGTGGATCACCTGAGGTCGGGAGTTCGAGACCAGCCTGACCGGCAACATGCAGAAACCCCGTCTCTACTAAAAATACAAAATTATCCAGGCATGGTGGCACACGCCTGTAATCCCAGCTACTTGGGAGGCTGAGGCAGAAGAATCACTTGGATCCGGGAGGCGGAGGTTGCTGTATGCCAAGATCAGGCCACAGCACTGTAGCCTGGGCAAAGAAAGCAAAACTCTGTCTGAAAAAAAAAAAAAATCACAATAAATGTATGTGACTTGTCAAAGAATCATAAGTGGCTCTCATAATAAGGGAAATGCAAATGGAAACTCATCTAAGATACTATTTCTCACTGCAAACTGAAAAAGATCCAAAAACTTGAAACTCTCTGTTGGTGAGGCGTGGGCAAACAGGCAGTCTCCTAGATTCCCATGAGACTCCCAGATGATACAGTACCCACAGCATCTGGCAACAGAGATAAAACCATTCTTTGACCAGAAACCCCTCTGCCAGGAATCTACCTTGAAGATGTGGCTCCACAAATACAAAATAATACATACTGGAAAAACTGGATGCCCACATGGAAAAAACAAAACCAAATCCTGACCCTTACCTCACATCGCTAACCTGAAATGGATCCTAGAATTAAAGCCAAAAGTAGAAAACATAGAGAAAGCAAAGTTTTCTTAAATAGGACATAAAATCCTAAAACAAAAAGAAGTGATTAGCTAGACTTCATCAAAAATCAAAAACTTCTCCTCTGAAAAATACCATTAAGAAAATGAAAAGCCACAGACTAGAAGGAAATTTATTTATAATACAAACGACATCTCCAGAATATATTTTAAAAACTCAGCCAGGCACAGTGGCTTGCACCTATAATCCCAGCACTTTGGGAGGCCGAGGCAGGAGGACTGCTTGAGGCCAGGAGTTTGAGACCAGCCTGGCCAGCATAGGGAAACTCTGTCTCAATAAAAAATAAAATAAAGAACAATAACTCTCAAAATTTATTATAAGAAAACCTAAGTTTTAAAACATGTAAACAGGAATTTCACAAAGAACAGACAAATTGCCAACAGGAACATGAAAACATGTGCAGTGTCATAAGTAATGAGGAAAGTGATCTGCAATCCAGAAGGCCACCTCTGCCATTCCAATGAGAGTAAGAGGTCTCAAGAGCTGAGAAACAGCACCCACATACCCTGCCCTTAGGGTATGGATGCGCTCCATCCAAGCAAAGTAAGCCAAAGAAAGGCCTCAGTGCGTAGTGGCTCACGCCTGTAATCCCAGCACTTTGGAAGGCGGGCAGATTACCTGAGGTCTGGAGTTTGAGACCAGCTTGACCAACATGATGAAAACCTGTCTCTAAATAAATTTTGAAAATTAGCCAGGCATGGTGGTGTGTGCCTAGTCCCTATAACTCAGGAGGCTGAGGTGTTTGAGGCTGCAGTGAGCCATGATCACACCACTGCACTCCAGCTTGGGCAACAGTGCAACATCCTGTCTCTGGGGAAAAAAAAAAAAAAAGAATAAAGACCACCAAAAATGATAAATATGAAGGTAAATATAAAAACATATATTCTTATCTTAAAAATCTCTTTAAAATAGAATTAAAATTTAAAGGGACACACAAAATCTGTGGTCTCTGTGCTGGGGAGTGTGGCAGGGTCTGCTGGTTATCCTGAAATATCATTCAGTCCTTGCTTCAGATCAGGGTCAGCAAATCCTTCTGCAAAGCGCCAGCTGCGGGCTTTGTGGGACAGGTGGCCTGGGGCGCAACCACTCAACTCAGCTGCAACAGCGCAAAAGCAGCTGTATAAAATATGTAAGCAAATGAGTCTGGCTATGTTCAGTAAACTTTATTTGTAACTACTGAGATTACAATTTCACATAATTTTAATGCATCACAAAATATTCTTTCTCTTATGATTTTTTCAACTATTTTAAAATGGAAAAATCATTTTTAGCTTACAGGTTGTACAAAAATAGGTGGCAGGCCAGATATGGCCCATGCCTGCAGTTTTCTAATTCTGAGGTAACAGAATCCCTGATTTTTAGTGGGAGCCTGGCAATCCAAAAGAAGGACAACCTCTCCCAGAGCTTCATCCCCCACTAAGCATGGCTGCCCAAGAACATTCTGGCCAAGGAAAT